TAATTTATGGAGAACTATCAGTTTCATAGCGAGTTACAGCTCTTTGTTTACCTGTCCGACGCTGCAGAAAGCTGCTCTATTCAGTCGTAAAGAAAACATTGAAAAACACTACCGGCCTTTCACAACCTTTTACCAGCTACATGGTGGAGAATCTGGCCCTATCAGAGTCCAGTATTTTACACAGGAGCTGGTGGAGACCAAAAACAGAGCTAAAAGGGAATGATTATTGGATTTGCATTTGTCAGGCGAAACAAGACACAACAGCAAAAAGAATAATAAGATGCAGATGATAATAGATTTTGTAAATCACCAATTGCTTGTCATAGTAACATATGTTTTATGTCAATAGTGAAGTAACGACTTGCCTCCGCTGCACCAATGTTGCACCTAAGTCATCACTTATTACTGGGGCTCTGCATTTTGCAACTCAGCCTCGTGCAAAGGCTTTCTGGAGGGATATTTTGGATCCTTTTTCATGCACAAATTCAAAACACACATAAAAACAGGTGGATGGAAACACACTTGTTGTCTTTGCTCCTAAAATACTCAGGAATTTTCTCACCACCGCTTTCCTTCTCACTCGCCACCAACCTCCATTCTGCTGTCACTTACATGTGAGTGAAAGCGTGTGTGTGTGTGTCTGTGAGTGTGTGTGTGTGTGTAAGAGGGAGATAGGCAGAAACATGGGGGCAGACATTGTCTACGTCCACGTCTCTGCGTGTCTCCCTCGGGTGACAGCCGTGTGTCAGGGTCTCTGCTCTCTACTCCAGATGGCCCAGCAAGTTGCTCCCAGGGTCCCCAGGCTCCCAGCGCTCATTGACCAGGGCCGGGGTTCTCACGGCCTGGGGGCCTGCGGACTCATTGCTGTGGCCTGGCCTCTGGGGCCTTTGAGGCCTCTGAGGGGCTCTGAGGGGCTCCGGGGTCGCCCAGCCGTGACAGCCGAGACAATAGGAGTGTCCTCACCCAGCTCCCACCCACCACCTACAGCCTCTCTTAACATACACATATCCTCTCACTCACCCTGGTGTTTGGCCTGGACATCCTTGATCCCGGTCGGGAGACAAGTCGCCGAGTCATGAGGCATCAATTTTCATACCGAGCACAAACTTGCTGACCAATGAAATGCATTTAAGCGTGGTTATAACAGCAGCAGCAAAACACAAATGTGTCAGAAAAATGATGCGCCAAGACTCAGACATACACACAAAAAAAATGACAGGACATAAATATAGACACTTTATGAAGCAAAAACACCCTTCCTACACATAAATCCACCTACTCCCTGAGAAGTGCGCAAACATGCAAGTGGATCAAATCCATCACCAGCTACAAAACGTCGCTTTACAGTGAGCAAAAGCAGTTCTGGCAGATCTATTTTCCCCCCAACTGAAGGTGATTTACATGTTTAGAAATCACTGAGAGGAAGCAAGAAGGCAAAAAAAAAAAAAAAAAAAGTAGAGTTCTAAACAACACATTTCAACATTGGTTTTAACAGCTTGGCTGCCACTTCATCAAATATTGAATAAATCATTTTCTTGGCACAGTATGAACACAGCTGCAAAAAAAATAAATAAATAAAAAAAAAAAATCACACGCACACATCCGCACACGCGCGCACAAACACGGACACACAGAATGCCTTGTAGTTTTGATAAAGCAGCAGCTTTCTCTTTTGTTTTGCAGCCGAGCAGGGATTAGGCAGTGCGGGTCTTTGTCCTGCGGTTTTCCAGTTGAGCAGAACACAAGAGCCTCTACCTCCACTAATACAGTCAGACCTCCCAGCAGGCCTTTCACCACACAGGCGCTAAGAACCTGCTGCCTAAAAGATGCTTTTCAATGAGTTATCAAATCTCCTCTATACTGTCCATGCCTTTCAACCGAGTCTCTTTGTCTATTCTTTTCAATGGAGCATTGAACACATCAAATAGAATTGATGGGCAGATAGATGGACAGCAGAATGTAGCAGAGCCATATTAACCTCTTTCAGACACTGCAGAGTACAGTCAAGGTAACACCAGTGGAGGTTTAGTGTATAATACGCCTCTGACTCTCAGCCCTTGTGACAGGCATTTTTCAATGCTTTTTCTTTGACAGTATGGAGACTAAGCAGTTAACGTTTTAATCTAGAAATATAAAGAAAGACTGATGGATAATGATCACTAGTTGCAGCTTTAACAGTAAACATAAAGAGAAACCAACGCTTTTTAAGAAATAAATCTACAACAATCAAGTCATTCTCCAAGCCAATATCTTCACTTAGCTTCATTTTGCTGTTTTATATGAAATATACGATTACTAGCTGCAGTCCTAATGGTAAATATACAATACTCAATGTTGAAATAGTCATTTAGGAACAAATCAACAAAAATCCAGTCATGTCCTATGCAAATATTTGAAAAATGTTCTCCTTCAGCTTCATTTTGCTGTCTTATATTGCTGTAAAATTAATATTTTTGGGGATTTTGACGACTAGTTGAACAAGACATTTGAAAGTGGGCTCTGGGAACATGTGCAAAGCTTTTACATTTTTTTTGACATTTTGTACACTTGACTGATTAACTGATGATGAAAATGCATTAATACAGCGTTAGTTGCAGCCATGACAGCAAATGTACAGTTTAGACAATATTTAGACACAATCACGTGTTAGTCAACAGGATAATTACATGGATACAACTACTACAATAAGCTACAGTCATTTTTCTTTCAGCTTTTTAAATGTACTTTCAAAATGCCTTCTCCAACTTGCAACAAAAGAAAAAGAATCGATCAGTTCGTCGCCAAAACAGCAAATACAAAATATCACCAGCGGTGCGAAACCATTTAGTCAATAACACCAATTTTAAGCCCTTCATCAACATTTACAACTTATAGCTTCACATAATTTGCTTCATTTTATGATTGTAAAGTGAAAACATTCTTAGACAAAACAAAATCAACACTTGCAGCCTTAATAAAGACACATTTATTAAGCAAAACTCAAGTACATTCAGGACACGGTTGTGCATCCTCATATTGATGATAAATGGCTGTTTACACCCGTTTTAGCGGTTATTAATCAGCTATAAAGAAGAATGCATTTGCTGAATTTTCTGCATCATTTCCAGTTTTTTGTTTTTTTTCGTTTCCCAGCTACATGACAGCTACAAAGCCATGAATGTGCGAGCTCTCGGCAGCAGGTTGACTACAGGATCCAGCAGGGGTTTTGATGAGTTCATTAGGAGGCCACGTCATTTATGCACAGTCACACATAAGGCAAAGGTCAGCCAGGATTACCCAGGTGGCCACTGCATGTGGGTGTCAGTTTGATTTTCAGACTGCACTTTAACCACGCTGTTGCTCCACAATCTGGTAACTACTTTGAAATCACCACGCCTTTGCCATATCGCATTGAATTCAATGTCATGCATGCTTACTTTGGAGCCGGAAAACAGCCAGAGAGGGATCGTTTTTTGTTTTTTTTTTGCATTCACTTCGGACTGTTTTTTTTTTAATATCAGGGGGAGAGCGGGGAAGTTCGCTCCACTTCACACTGTGGTGGGAATAGAGGGGGGGGCAACAAGGTAGGAGGGGGCAGAGGGGATAAAGCTGTGGCAGGATTTGATCTAAGGTCAGTGGGGGAACACATGATGCTGCACTCTGCTATCTCCAAGTGCCATTTTTTGAAAATTGGTTTTTTAATACATTTCAGAGCTGCAACAATCATTTGAGATAAAAAGAACCATGTATCCAAACCATAAGTAGTTTGATAAGCTCCTGTTCGCCTTTACAAATTGCTATTCAGGTGGGCTGTATTCATAATTCATCAACATGGGTCAGGCTGATGATCATGTTGACTTAACATTTGGTCTGACATTTCATCCCTGCTCACGCCTTTCATTAGTTCTCGCCACACGCCACCTCATCAAAGTCAGTCACACGAGAGAGGAATGAAAAAAAAAAGACATGAAGAAGAAGGAGAAAACGTATAGATAAAGGCAGAAAACGATAGATTATGATACAGTATCATGATAAGACTTCATGCATACAACGCTGGCGATATTTGCTCATTTGATCGTTTTGTTAAACAAACATTGCAAAAGTGGGATTGACGGCGAGGAATAAATACAGACACACTGTAATCCAGCGAACACGCACGTGAGCAAACACGACCCCTCTAACCTGCCGATCCGAGAGCTCGACCCGCCTTTTCTTGCGGCGAATCTGTATCATCAGCCATCACCCAGCGTTTCCCTAACAGCAAACGAGTTGGTGCCAAAAAAATGTCGCCTCACAAAAAAAAATAAAAAAAATAAAAAAAACTGGAGCAGCAACACATTTCTGCCAATAACAACACCGCCATGTTGATTCCAGTGGGGTGATATTGGATGATATTGACTGTAGGGAGTATTGCTGTGCTTCTCAAAGTCATTTCCAACCAAAGCAAGGACATCGACACACACACACACACACACACGTTAACACCGGTGCTGATCGGAGTGCAGACAATGAACAGGGAGGGAAGCGGAGGCATATTGACAACCTCCTTTCTGCGGGTGACAGCTCTCCATCAGTCCACATCAAACAAGTGCATACATGCAGGCTCACACAGAAGCATACACTCTGACTGATTGGCCGCTACAAGCCTGTTTCAACCTGTCAGCCTGTTGGACGTAATAGAAGACCGAATAAACTGTCCTGTGTACTGTATGTGTGTGTGTGTGTGTGCAGAAACAGTAGGTGTGCGCGCCGGACTCATCATCTCTGTAACTGATGGTCATCTGTCATCGCACAGTGTTGATAATCTTCTTAGGGACAGGGGTTTGTCTGAACAAGATGAACACCAGTCTATCTACTGTATCTGGAGAGACTAATCTGTGTTCTCATTTACTGAAGCCCAGACGGTGACAAAGTGGTCTGGCTCGTAAAAATGAGATGAATCGCAATGAAGGTTGTCAACAGGATCGTCGTGCGAAGGTGATGGAAGAAGAAAAAAATAAATAAAAATAGAGCGCTCTTACCTGCGACTTGAACTAGATCTGCGGTGGTTATGTTCTTGGGGTTTGGGCCAACTCTGAACGTCAGTGCAGGACCCAGGACGCTGCAAGATTAACAGCAAAGGAGGGAGAAAATCAACAGCTGTAGATATTTAAGAGGAACAGTTTGATATTTTGGGGAGAATTCCAAAATTATTCAGGTATTCCACAGCTGCCTTAAGTTGCATCCAATGGCAGGTGGTTCTGCCACTCATCTAGGAGTTTGTGGGTTTGGATTAACAACACTGTAAAGCACTTTGTAGAATTCAACCCTTAAATCAATTGCTAACTATTCTGATAATCAATTAATCAAAAAAAAAGATGATGTTCAGTTTTCTTTCCTCCTTTTAGACAGTTACCCAAATATCTTTGGGTTTTAGCCAAGACATTTCAGGATATCAGCTTGGGCTTTGGGAAACACTGATCGCCATTTGTCACCATTTTCTGCCATTTTATATGCCAAACAAATAATTGATTAATTGACAAAATCGTTGAGAGATTAATTTATCATTCACCATACTCAAAAGGAGCTAAGTAAGTGCAAGCCATTTACCATTATCATACATTCACCTTCTCTGCAAGGGTTAGACAAAAAGGCTGATGTGCAATTGGTTTGGTCAACATGAAGCCAGCAGCAGGTTAGCGTAGCTTAGCATAAAGTTTGGAATCAGGGAGGAACATCTAGCGTGGCACCATGGCTACAAGCAACTCTAAAACTCACTAATCAACCTCTTGTATTTGTTTTGTTTATGCCAAACAAAAACCCAAGTGTATAAGGCGACACAACGCGTGGGACTATTTCTTGGCCAGACTTGTCCTTTTATGCATTTAGTTTTTTGTGCAGATTACACAGACTAAACATAAGGGGCCGGTTTGCGAGCTTTAGATGTGCAGGTGGGTGGATTTTGTTGGTTTTTGTAGGAGTCAGACTAGCTGTTTTCTCCAGTTTCCAGTTTTCTTCATGTTAAACTAAGTTAACCTGCACCTGGCTGTAACCTTTTTATTTACTGGGCTGATATGTGAGGGCTATCGATCTGCTCATCTAAGCAATAAAAAAAATAATATTTCCCACAGTGTCACTCAACTGTTTTAAAGTTCAACTATGTTTAACGCAAAAACTGATAAAGGGCATCGATAATAAGACGAGAAACTGTAAAATACCCTTTCCGAAAAACATGCGAATAATCACGAGTTTGGCTTTTCTTTTCAGTTTGGACTTAAGAGCAAAGTACAGTCATCAACTGAGCACCTTGTTTTCTGTTCACCTGCAGTAACCTGCCTGCACTCCCTGTACCCGCTCTCCTCTGTCTGGGCAGGAGTCAGCGGCAGACTTCTCTCCCTGGAGCAGAATAAATGTTGAAGGTCCCCGAGGTTGGCCATGAAATAAAATCTAACAACCCCAGCCGACTCTGTAAGAACTCCCAGCAATGGTCAGGGAAGCGTAAAAAAAAAAAACCTACTAATGTCGAGTGTAACATCCCAAATGAAACTATTTCTATAAACAGCTAAAAAGAGAGACTTTTAACAGCTAAAAGCACAAATAAACAGCAACTTCATAGCCCTAATGGTAGCTCTTGTTCAAAACAGAGCTCAACAAGGCAACGGGAGAAATAAAGACCCCAACTGGGAAAAAAAAAATCTGCAAGAAATATGTTAATACTGGAATGGAGCAGTGAGATAATATTCCTCAGATTTTTGTAAAACTGAAAATTAAAGCGGTGATGCCTGAGATGATGATGAACACATGGCATGAGTAAACAAATGATCAATGTACGAGTCAGATGCATCACCCCTTGAAGTCAGTGAGAATTTTAAAATGCCAGAACTGAGCAATCTGCTTATTATCAAGTATTTCATTCAGTCTTACATGGCTCATATTCTTGAAACAAGTGCAAAATCTGCCATTGAGGTGGGAAAATTTCAACTTGTCTCTAATAAAAATCAGCCTGTCTCGACAATTTGTAGAATAAGTGGAATTTTGTTTGCTTCGGTCTGCTTTCATGTACTCTCACTGACACATATTTGTAGAAAAATCTCCAAACAGTCTGATTTGTTTGCGTATAATTGGATGTATTTTTTTTTATATCTCTACCGTAACAGCAGATTTTGTCACTTGTTTTAAGAAAACAAGCGTTTTGGGACCAACGATAAGGTAATTTAACTTGACAAATGGTAGATTTGTGTTGCAGAGTTATTTTGTATGTTTCATCTGGTTTTCTAATAATATAACTGACATCACAGTGAACATTAAACAAACCAGTACTGTCCTAGTTTACCAACCATCCTGCTGGGTTTGACATTTTTCATGTATTTTCACATTTACTCGACCCTCAAATCTCCATCACAATGAAATCTGGATTTTTTTTTTTAAAACTCTGCCAAGAAGTTTGCCTGTCAGCAGAATAACACAAAAACACCCAAACAAATGTTTATTGATCTCGGTAGAAGCAAAAACCAATAAGATTTTGGTGCAAATCTGGTTTGGATTGCAAAAGAGATAAAGGTTTACGCTCCTTGAACACCTTTTTAGTCGTATATCTGAGTAACTGGATTGTTTAAATGCGGAAATGGTTCAACATTTCTGAAAACTGGAAGTTTAAAGGCTTATTTACGTTACAGTCTAGCGTTAGCTGAATAAATCGCTATCCCTCACATGTCTGTACATTAAATATGACGCTACAGCGAAGAGGTGGTTTTATTAGCTTAGCATAAAGGCTAAAACAAGCCAGACAACCGGCAGAAACTCCCGACTAAAGAAATAGTCTAACCCTTAAATATGAGAATAATTGGTGACCTTTAGAAGCATTATCTGGGCTGTTTATTCCTTCCCTGAAGTTTTTATGCTAAGCTAAGCTAACACTCGCCTTAGTCTATGAATTAGCGTATTTCTCAGGCTATCACAATGCTGAACAATAATCTTAATAGATTTCAACAAATCTAGACTCATTACTCAGGTCTGCTAACAAATTCAAATCCACTACTATATATACACGAATCATGTAGGAGGTAAAATCTGCAAAACTGTTGGAGCTTCACAGCAGCAACCCAGATCATGTATATGACGGATACTTTAATAAGCCTATGGGGCTGAAGTTTCGTTTAGAGTTTATTGACAGCTGACAATAAGTAACTGTGAAAACCTACAGTGGGCTGAGATGTCCCATTTTTCTACCAGCGTCAAGCCGCCGAAACATTTCAGTACGTCATCATGTCTGAACTGTTATGTCCTGGAAAGTACATTTTTAGAGAGCTCGCTGCCAGACTGTACGACAGAGAGGCAGATTCATCAGACTGCCAGAGTGCTGTGACCCAGACCCGTTCACCATCAGTCAGCCCCGCTACAGATGCAGCGACACTCCCTCGGCCAGGAGCGATATATGAGCCAATACTGCCAGACAGACGGACCCAACCATGCACCGGTGCATTTGCGAACATGATCACACACATGGTCCTACACACACACACACACACACGGGGGCCGGCCTTCACCCGGACTCTGTTTGCTCTCGTAAATGTCAATGTTTCCACAATCTTTGCCCCTGCCTCCGTTCTCCCCGGCCGAAGGTGCTCCGCCTGAGATCTCAATGCATCTCAAATTGAACTGACGTGATTTTTTATTTTTTTTTGTATTCATTTGTTTATTTATTTTTTGGCACCGAGGCACACAGACCCTATTTAAATATACTGGCAGGGGAAAAACAGTGCCACAGTTGGGAGATGAAGTTAAGATAGATAAGTTATCAGGAGGACTTCACACTGTCTCCTGTGCTATCGGACGTGTGAGCTTGGACTTCATATTAGCTCTGCTGGTGGGACGAGATGAGTGTGTGTGTGTGTGCAGGCTGGTTGGCGGGATATTGGCAGCGAGTGTGTGTGTGTGTTCCTGCACAGACTGTGTGTGAGGATGGACTTGTGAGTGTGTGTCCCACTCCCCCTAGTGTTTCTGAGGAGCAAAACACTTACGTCATCTGGAAAAAAAAAGCAAAAAAAAAAAAAAAAAGGCACATATTATCTCCAGCCCATCATCATCCAGAACTGCTATTTCAAATCTCTTTTGAAAGGGGGAATATTTTGTGCTGATTACTGTAATAGCAAGCTCAAACATAATTGTGTCTGAAAATTTTAACAACACACACACACACACACACACCTACACACACACAGAAAAGAAAAGAAAAAAAAAAAGAAATAAAAATCCAGCCTCCCTTTCTCATACTCTCTGTCTGGAAGTCATCTCTGCCCGCCTGTTGTCATATTTGAGTATCTCTTCTCGTCTCTTCCTATCAGGGCTCATCAGAGCGAGCGAAAAACGAGAGGCCCCCGAAGCAGGGCGGCGTGCTCTGACCCAGCTCTCGTATTCCAGCCGACTCATATTCAGACGGAGGCTTTCAAATACTCACCTGTCGAGGCCGCACAGCAAGAGGCACAATGAGCTTGCGTCATGTCCTTCGCCTCGGCTGTTTCTACATGAATGCGCTTTCATTACTTTGCGAGAGGGGGAAAAAGAACGAGATAAACAAGCCAGACAGAGACGACATTTTCTGTATTTGTCTTCTGTATAGAACTGTGTCAATATGAGGTGTAAGACAGAGTGGGCTCCTCTGAGGCTTCTACACTGGCTTAACAACTTTAATGTGCTGCGAACAACAATATATATACACTCACAAATGTACTGGCCTGTAGAGCATACAATTCTTACTATGCTGCCCTTACATAAATATACTGAATGAGCTATTAGTACTTCTTTGCACTGTGACCATGGAAGTGCAGAGAAATATCACTGGGTTACTCAATACTAAAAAAAATAAGTTAGACGTTATAAAAGCACCTTTTTTCTATGATTTAAGGATGTTTATTCACAATCAGCATTGGAGATTGTTGTTGGTTTAGTCATACTGAATGTAAAAATATGAGAATCGTGTCCATGTGTTTCAATGTGAAAGAGTTATAACACAAAGAAAAAGGACTAGTTTTGATGTAAATTGTGTAAAAGACCCCCTCCGGTGAAGTTTTTTTTTTGACATTGTTAGCATGTACATTTGGTGTTTTTGATGTGCTAGAAGACACATAATGAGCAAAATAAGTAATCAATGTTATGGCTGAGCATTTTCGCTTTGATTGACTGATGATAGTCTCCAAAACACAGATTTAAAACTTCACGGTTTCTTACATCACAAACCTCAAGAACCAATCCTGTTAACTTGCAGGGCGGGGCTTTCTGTGTCATTAGTCGTCTTCAATATCAGTTTCAGGTTTGAACATGTATGACTGACTTTCTTCAGCGTTATAACTAAGTGTAATGTAGAGTAGTTTAACAATGTTTGAACAGAGTTGTGGGTGAGCTGGTGTGCTCGAGCTGCAGTTACATCATAACACATAAAGTGACATCTAAGAAATTTTAAGGAAGGGATACTTCCATGGGAAAAAAAAAATATTTAGAGTTTTAGGGGGTTTGGAGAAACACCTGACCATGCATGACCACACCTGAAAATATAGCAAACATATGCAAAATCACAGGAAACACTAACATTTAATTCAATGTAATGAATTGTGTTCATGCCTGTCAGTGTGTTTCATATAAACTAAAAACGACTATCTCAAACAAAAATTTGGAATGGCTACAAAGTGTAACACATATTAGATTCACTCTAAAGGCTGTAAAGCTTTTTTTTGTTTTTTTTAACCTAATCTTTTCTACAAGCCTGCATCCATGTTATGTGACTTGCAAGTTTCTATCACTTTGCACAGAAAAAGAGCACAAATCCAACATTAGGAGTAATTTGAAGGGGTGGTGGTATTAACCAAACACTAAATTTTTACCTAGAACACTAAAGCGCTGTGTGACGACATTCTTATTTGTATTATTTTTGCATTTTGTTTCACTTTCACTTGTTCGGTGGATGTTTTTTGGTGTTGTTTTTTAGTCTCTGCTGGCTTTTGGTTAGATTACAAAACAACTTGATCAGGCTAAGGAGACATCATGGTTTGGGTTAAGGAGCCACCAACACTAACCACAGAGCTCCAGGTGTTTTCTACGCTGTGAAGGTGACGAGTGTACAATAGTCCCTAAAACCACAAGCATCTCAAGATTTTACACTCTCTTTTATAAAATTCTACATTTTGCCTTGTGGACCACTGTAGCTACCATACAGTTTGGTGTGAGACTGGGCTGCCAAGAACTACTGTAACCAATTCTGGCAGTTCATTATAAAATTAGTTCTGTATAATTAACTCAGTCTTGCAGAACAATAACAAAACACAGAATGTTTTTTAGAAAACTAAATAAAAAATCATTTAGAATCATAACTAAGCCCATTTCTTCAGAGTTAACTAGGAAAAGTGAGTACTTTTAGTTCTGACAGTATTTTTTTTGTATTTGTAACATAAAATAGCACTACATTACATCGAAAAAATAATTCAGAGGACCTACTGCCACTAATTAAATGTGTGGTAAGTTGTAAAGTATTAAATTGGCTCGATAGCTTTGTTGTTCTATGAGTTCAGAAAGTTCTTAAAACCTTTTACACTGCAAATTGTTAAGTAACTGGTCATTTAAAGTACCACTGATTATAAAGATTCATTCTCCTAACTTAATAAAGCTTGACGGTTGAACATCATGTCTTTAGAAGCTGTCATGAGTCAAAACGACTGACGCAAACTGTTGCATTATTTTTTTGTTGAGCCTAAACCTTGGTTTTTAGAGTGTAGCAGGAGTTGTAGCAATACTGTGATTAAGTGTTACTACTTTTATAAAAGTAGTCTTTCACCACTCTGTATGTGAATGATTTCATCAGCACCCCGATAATGACATTAATCATAACGTGCGTCAGGAGTTGATTCAGAGTGATAAGAAATGACAGGTGCAATAACAAGATTAACTAAATCAGTGCCGGCACGATGACACGTCCTGGCGTTCCGGCTTTAAAGATAGAGATCAGAACGCCTCCTTGGTTGCATTTATTTTGAGGTCACCGTGTGTATTTTCAAAGCACGAACAGTAGATACAGAACGCTCTGACAGTTTTCCCTCTCAGTAACTATTATCCGAGCCAAAATACTCTGTATCTACAGTTGCAGCGTAGCCGCACACTGCAGTGCAGCGGCTTTGGTGTTCATATGCTGTGGGTGTTACTGAACCACCCAGACTTCACTTCTCCTGCAGGAGCGTCTTGAAAGGCTTGTCAGATCTTAGGCGAACACATCTCCTCTGCCTCCTACATGGTCTGACACCAAATGTACAGCAGAACCATGGTACAAGCACAAAACAGCCTGGGTTCAAGGACAGTTCGCCTGCTCATTAATATTTTAACCGCCTCCTGCTGGACTACTTTCTCTATTTCCAGCTCTCTATCCACTGCTGCTTCCCTTTCTCTCTCTTCCTCTCTTTGCCTCTAACTAAAAATCGTTTGATGGCTTGACTGCTCTCTTTTTGACAAGGCGTACAGTGACAATAGTGGCGAGGCAGTGTTTTGAATACAATGGAGACATCAGTGTGTGTCTGGAGGTAATTAGGCCTGATTTCTCTCCCTGCGAGAAGTCAAACACTGCAAAAGGTCAGAAAAACAACAAACGCCTACAGTCTCTGGCAGTGTGGCACAGCATTTTCACACAAACAATCCTCGAAGCGACTGGACAACCTTCACTCCGTTTCTCCGAGCTCAAAGGCACGAAACAAAAACCATTTCAAATGCTTTAAATGTGGCCAATTATCCTTTATTCGATGTATAGCTTGTAAACTGCGAGGAAGAATCATTATTTGTGACAATGGGGGATGTTGGTGTCTGTACGTACGAGAGCTGGGTGAGATCGGCGGCGTGGAGGCTCAGTCTCTGGGTCAGTCGCTCCATCAGGTCCAAGCCCTGGTCAGTGGTGAGGGAGCTGGGGGAGGAAAAAACACACAGCGAGGCGTCACATTTGAAGGTTCATACCCGCGCAACATACCCGCAGCCACTCAGCTGTTAAAATACTATTTTTTTTTAGGGAGATACTGCCACAATTCATACCCACAAATGGGTCATTGCACACAAGCAAAGCTATGGTTGTCTGAATGGATGTACTGCACACATTTGCACACCCGTAGACACACACAAGCACAAACAAACACACAAAGCAGTGTGCCAAGGGAAAAGGGATCAGCTGCCTCTTCAGGCTTGGTAAATCACCTGCTTTTTTCCAGCAATGAGACAAACAATAAGGTGCAAATGGAACCTGCATGAGGTGTAATGGCTGTATCATATGGACGCTCCTTTCTCTCTCCCCGCCTTCGCTCATCTTTCTTCTTCTTTCGCCTACATTCACTTGCTTTCTCCCGGCGCGCACGTACGCTCAAAGTAAAACACGATAACAGCGAGTACACAAACACGCTGTGCACGCGCCCTCACGGTGAGATGAGAATAATAAGGTGCAAATGGAATGGAGGTGAAGTGTAATGGTGGTCTGATAAAGCCATGCCTCATCTCAGCTCAGTCCACGGCTGCTCTCTCACTCAGAGAGTAAATCGCCAAGGAAATAGACCAAACAAAGGCAATCTGCCGGCCAGCGCGTCGTATGGAGGAAATGAGAAGGGCATCCACACAAACACACTCAGAAAGCTACTTTATTGCTGACAGCTTAACCTGGAATCACTGAGACTGCCAAGTGACTGCAAGGTGACATGCACCGAGAAGTCATGGATCATAATGAGACATTGTTCAAATTTTGTTACCACTCCATAGCAGGGAAATGTGAAATAAACTGGGAAACAATTTCACGCTACACTGGGTATTGAGTGCAGTATCACTTATATGTGCTCTTTTTTCAGACACTCAGCGTCATCTCGAGTTAAAAAAAAGGAGGTTTTCCTTCGACGTATTCCAGTCAGAATTATGCTGAAATATTTTGTTTAGCCCGCATTTGACACCACATTACAGCAGCTTTTCTCTAACAGAACAGTGCGCCGTGCACGAGTGGCTGATTCACTCCACCTTTGAGAGAGTGGGAGGTTCTTTTTTCTTTTCTTTTTTTTTTCCCCCTCCACTTTTTTTTTGAGGGGTTTTGAAAGTTAAAGATTTACCGAAGCAATTCCAGACACGTTTGCATCCCTCTGCGGTAATTCTAGCAACTGGAGAGCTCCAGGAGTGACTTGGTTGTTGATGCTAGCACTTTTCCCCTTGGGTTTCTCTCTCTGTCTCTTTCTCTTCTATCCATACCTTTTCCACTTCCCCCTCCACGTATACCACCCTCCTTCCTTTTCTATTCCCCAAACCTCACCTCCTCCTCCTCCTCCCCCCCCCCACTACCACCACCACAATGTCAGGAGCTGTCAGATAAGCAGGTTTGCGTAGCCACACTGCGGGGTGCGAAGAAGCCGGGGATAACAACTGTGCAATCATGAGGTCTGCAGCGAATGCAGAGACACCTCTATAGGCCAACTATAGGTGTCCGCTAGGTGGGCCGAGGATAGACAAGGAGGAGGAAGATATTTCACTCAGAAGGTGACCTGTTTCTTTCCCCCCGGCGCATACTCACCTATAGTGTGTGTTTACGTCTTAATCTGCTATTCCTATTTGTGTGGCAATGGGGTGACAAAGACTGTACCCATCGGACCTTTATGAGACTCCGCGTGTTGAACAGGTGAAGGACAACTCGCTGACACTGGACTTGATAACGCCATAAAGGGATTTGAGAGCGGGCCAGAGGCGAAGACACAGTCGATAGGAACTTATCTTCGCTGAGCCTGAGCTGAGTGAGAGGTAAGAGAGACGGAGAGAGAGGGAACCTGGCTACCCTTCCTGACAAAGTATCATCATTAAAGCTGTAATACAGCACAGTAATACCCACACACTGAGGGATTTATCATCGCCGCTATTGTAATCAGGTACAGCGCACACTGAGGATTTCCAACGACAGTATCCTTTTTCCGCGAAGACGTGAACATGTGGGTGGTTTTGACAGAATTTACGTCTCTTAAAGGCGGTTTTAAGTAAGAGAACAAAGCAGATGTATGCTTGGTGTTAAGGTAAGTAAAATGAGGCGGACTTGAAACGGGTCCAGCAGCGCGGCTGACGACTGGTGGGTGGAGCAAAAACTTGCGATGAGCTACAATGTCGAGCCTCAGGAATGAGAGCGGGATTGAAAAACATGTTTTTGATAATAATAATGACGAACACAGAGAGACTTTTAGTTTTTCAGTTCCTCCTGGGGAGCCCTGCAGAAATATTTATGCATAATTAATTGATATTGTAAATTTTCATCTGAATAAATTAAATAAAAGTGTTTTGGAATCGATAATGGTGTGCACTCTCTTTGTCTGCCAAAACGAGAGTACTATTTAACAGTCCTGAGCACGTGTTAACACTTTATTGAAGGTGTTTGATCGTAATAATTTAGTAAAAACCTGCAAAGTAACAGCGTTTCACAGCAGAACTTTTAGGTCCATCAGTTTATTAAAGGTGAGTGTTTGTAATAATCTAGGAAAATGTGTAAAGTACAAGTGCTTCTTCATAAAACATACAATGAAAATATCAGTAAATTGATTGTTTTTGTACTTTATCTGAATTACTTGATCGCGCAGTTATTATTTGGAAGACGTTGTTGCCAGACATCTAGAAGTTTTTTTTTACAGTGCATGTTTATCTCTAGACTGTCTCATATTCTACACTCTGATCTATAGACAGTTCATATCCAGTGAGACAAAACACAACAAACACTAGAATGAAACACCTTTGAATTCTAATGAATTCTCATCATTCATGACAAGTCAAATTCTTTCAAACCATAATGAATCTACCGTAATGAATCTGTGCAACCAGGTGCAGTCAGTCACATTAAAACCATTTAACTAGCCATCTAATATTTATAGAAAAGGATCCGTATTATTATAATCATATTTTGTATGCATTATTTATAGTATTATTTGTTAAGACACCAAATGTCTAATTCCTCTATTTCTAATCACCAGCTGGATTTCACCATCTGTCTGGACTTATTCAATGCTGACTCCGAACACAATGATTTAAAAATGAAATAAGAATCTGAAACACTAATATCTCTACTAAAGATTGTTGATTATATATATTATGTGTGAAATTTCTTCACAAAAACATATGATATTGATTCTGAATTCTATTATTTAGGTACATTTGACACCCAAACTTTCTTATTTATAAGCTTTGCAAATTTTATTTCTCTGATACAACTGTGCAATAGTTCAAATCTAACCTTCGCAGCCGTGAACAGTACATTTTCTTACTAACAAAGACAAATGATCTTTTTTAGACACTGAAACAGCAGTCTCGCTGGGTTTCGCTCTTGGCCCACTTCCCTTCAGGGCTTAACAGAATCATGTCACAGAGCAGATTTTCAGATGGACAGTACAGGTCATATATTTATCTGCTAGAACTGCTTTATCAGTTTCTGCCCAGCTGTCACAGCATTTGCAGTCCATCCAGCACGGTTTAGAAACTCGTGTCCAACACTCAACATTACATTTAGAAAACCTGTGTCTGTTTTCTTCTGGATAACACCACTGCCACATTCTTAAGAAATGAAATATGTTTAAAATAAGCTTTGATTTATGCCATTAAATTGCTCACATAGTCATAACACTTAACACTGTCATTTTATGGAGTTTTAATACATCCTCATTTGTAAATTACTCTTGTTATGTCTGTGCAGTTTTGGTATGTGGAATTAGTTCATACTACTCTTAAATCATTCTAGTATCAGTGATGTGCAGGAATCATACTCACTCTGATCCAGTGATGATGTAGCCAAAGTGTCTGTCCTTCCCTCTGCTGGAAAACTCCTTCACCCCCACATGGACCAGCTGGGTTTTGACTCTCATGTCCTTCTTCTGCGGCTCCTCCAGCTGCTTCTTCCCCGCCGGGCCCTGAACCCCCTGCATCCACCTCTCGATCTCAGAGTCCACCTGCGCGTCAGGCCTCTCCGCCCCGCCGGTTAATCGCAGGGTGGCGCCCTCCTTCGCGGGTTCGACCGCAGTCTTCTCCTCCCAGCGGTGGACGTCGGGAACTCGGTCCTGCGTCGTGCGGCTCCTCACGTTCTCCAGTCCGACCATTTTCCGGAGGGGAGCCGGCGGCCCACTGTTGACCTCTGGAGCATCGCCAAAGGGCTCCATGTTGAGGTAGTCCAGCAGCTTGGAGAAGAAGGCTGCATGCTGTTTTGAATCACGGAAGAATTTGCTTTAGAATAGTGAAGACATTTTTTTATTCTAATTTTACCTACATATTACTTCCAGTTTCCTTACATAGGAGAAGTTATTATGCTCTGAGGAAAATTAATTAATACCTTGAATAAAGACTTCAGCTCTATTAGAAACGTCAGTCACAGAAAAGGTATGAATTTGTGCTGCATTCTCCACCGTTTCTGAGTCTGAATTCTTGTCCAAGGTCTAACAACATCCTTTGTCCTTACAAATTATTACAGGGTGCATTCAGTAGCTTTTAGTATAGTTAACAAGAGATTTGTGGCATTGTGCAAAACCATTTTAATTCGTATCGTTTCATTCAGTGAAAACACAGAGATTGGACAACAATCAAGAAATTTTCCAAGGTTCTGCAGTTGTGAGTTTGCTTTCAAGTTGTAATAATTCAACAGTAAATGCGGGTCTGCACAACTTTTCAAATCATCCCTATTTGAAGTAGCATTCAAAAGTGAATAAAGTGTAGGTTTGGACATGTCTTGCTCCCAGAGAAACCAATTTGTTGGTTGAGCAGAGTAATTTTAAATTCACCTTGTCAACGGGCTCTTTGTCTGCACCGTCTATTTGTTGGCCTGGAAACAAACACAATGTATGTGAGCAGATTGTGTGAAAAACTGAAGTTCTCTTTTGTATTTAGCAAAGAAAACACAGTTATGACTCAAACGAGAGACTCAAAAATACATTTGGCAGGACTTTGTATGAGGATTATATAAAAAAACTGCCTAATTAAAGCACTTATAACCGTACAATGTCTCACATTCTTATGTCTAGGACACAAAATATATGCGTAAGTGCTCTGAACGCTGCCAACTTTTATTCTCTTAGACGACAGCAGAAGCACCAACCTTGTTGTTTCATTCTCGGTGTGTCTTTCTGGTTTAGATCCTGCCCTTTATCTGATTTCAGGTCCTGGTTTTGATTCAGATGCATTTCTGCCAGTGGCTCCCTGTTAGCCTCCATCTCCCCCCTGGAGTCAGTGGCTCCTGGTCCTGGCTGGGTCCCAAGCGCCGGCCGCTCCTCATCCACCTCCTGCAGGGCTCCTGTGATGACCTCAGCCAGCTGGTCCAGGTCTTTGCCCATCAAAGCCTCCATGTGGACGCTGTGTCTGCCCAGCTGGTTCACCATATTCTGGATGAATTGCTCTGGAGAGAAAGAGACGAATGAAACCACACAATCAGATTATATTTAAATGTGTTAAAAATACACAAAAAAAAAAAAAATAGAATGCTTAAGAAAATATTGACAAGCTACTACAAAAATATGAATAATGTGGTGCAAAAAATAAAAGCTGGAGTGTGAAATTGTCATAACAAGCCACCAAAAAGCCCATCTTACCATCCATGACGTTGAGAGGCTGTTTCGCGGACAGTCGGTTTGAGCCGGCCTTGAACAGCAGCCTGTCTAGATTAGGCCTTTGGGTCTTGGAGCCAAAAGCGACCTGAGTCTGCGGCTCTGCATGGCCGATCGGAGTTGGCTGCATGTAGCTGAGGTAGTGGAGCTTTCCTTTGGGCGACGCGGCCTCGCCACCTGGGCTGCCCTGCTGAGCGCCTGGTGCCCCGGAAAGAAGCCGTTCCAGATGGCCGGAGAGGAGTTTGCTCCTCCCTGGGTCCTGGTTGGAGTAGCTTGTACTGAGCTTGGGGTGCCTGCCCTCTCCACTCTGGGTAAAGACTTTGGTGACGGGAGGTTGGCCAGCTCCTTTCTGCAGGCTGTAGATGGTGGTCTCCTTCCAGCCCTGCTGGGGTTTTGGCCGGCTGGGCTCCAGACGATCAGCAGACTTGATGTCTTCATTCTACAACACAACATGGCCGGTTTACCACCTTTAGAGCTGTGTGAATATGTCAAACAGTATTTTTAACATGTTCATGATGTGACTCTTTGGATGTCCTGGTCAGTTGTGCCGCCACTTTAGTCTAGACCAAAATATTTCACCAACTATTGGACGCACCCTGGTGATATTAAGTACTAACATTCCCCTTTAACATTAACTGTAATAACTTTTCTTACCTCTTTGTAGAGACATTTTAAAGACTCCCTCCTGTTGACATTCATTTTTTTGCCATCTTAAAATTTCCATGTGGTGCTTTTATATAATGGAAATAAACAATCAACACCACAGCATTTCAACTTTGAAATGACAAGTCTCAAAAACGCAAACTCAGACTTTCAGGGTTTCACATATAAGAAACCTGAGAAATTAATCCTGTCAACTTGCAAGCTGAAGCCTCTGTGTCATTATTTTTCTTTAATTCAATAAATGTAATTCTTCAGAGTTGAATTTAAAGTTCTACTTATTGTCTGTAACTCTCTGAGTGGTCTGGGGCTAAAATATATTGGAGATGTTTGATACAAGCCTGAAAGAGCGGCTCCCCTTGGAACTTAGTCGTGGCCCATTTTTTCGGAATAAGCTGCAAACTGTTCCTTTTTCCACTGCTCTTAGGTAATCAGCGTTATTATAAAGTTTTGTCTGAACCAAGTGTACTTTTATTCAACTTGTCTGTACTTTCGTTCACCTAATTTTAATTAATTTCTTTTCTATTTTAATGTATATTTTATCTCTTATATGCTTTTATTTTTCTCATCTCTTAGCTGTTTCAGTCAATCACTTTTAATGATTCTATAAATCTGTGTTCACCTTATTCAACTTGTCAGCACTGTTTTTAATTGATTCAATTAAATAAGTTTTTATTACATTATTTTTTAAATTTCCTTCTCTTTTTTTTCTTTAAAAAGAAAATAATTCAAATAACCTGTGTATGATAAGGTCGTGCATAAATAAATGCTTGCTTCAGAACTGTTTTCCAGTTTGACTTGCCATCGTGTAGAGTAGCTTTACAGTGCTTGAACTGAGTTGTAGGAGAGCTGGTGTGCTCGAGCTGCAGCAACCAGAGGAGCGCTGAGTAAAGAGAGCGGCAGGGACTTCAGAGAGTGTTGATATATGTATATTTTAGTCAAGCTTTTGATTGTTTTGATAGATTTTGTTTCATTTGTACCCTTCCTAGAATTCCTTTTATTTACTGACTTCTGTATTCATTCACCTATTTACATATTTATTACTTCATTTTTATCATTTCTTATTATTTTTAGCATTTTGACTTCTGTCTCTACCGATTTTAATAATAGATATTTCATTTACTTATCTAGTTTCTTTTATCTTTTTTATTTTATTTTATCTCATCTGGTAAATGGTCTGCACTTATATAGCGCCTTTTTCTACCTTAGTGGTATCCAAGGTGCTTTACAATGTGTTTCGCATTCACCCATTCACACACTAATGGCGACAGAGTTGCCATGCAAGGCGCTCATCAGCTAAGCAACTTGGGGTTCAGTGTCTTGCCCAAGGACACTTCGGCATGTAGTGGGGACCAGGGATCGAACGGACAACCTTGCCATCAGTGGACAACCCGCTCTACCACCTGAGTCACAGCCGCCCCATCTGGTGTTTCCTCTGCTCTTCAGTCCTTGTGTTTTAGAGTCCTGTATTGATAACTTGACTGTGAGGGTGGGTTTGAGGGAAGGGGTAGGGGTTGTTTGTGTTGTTTTATTGCATTTTTATTTGTTAAGCACTTTGTGTCGCCTTTCGTGTTTGTATGAAAAGTGCTATATACATAAAGTCTGATTGATGCATTGATCTGCACATTCTGAACGAAGCAACAGACCAGAGTTGCATTTCAGCCACTTTAAAGGTCCCATATGGTGGAAATCCATTTGTTATTGTGCTTTGTGGTTGTTGTAAAGTTTGAGGTGTAAAATAAATGCTGTTAAGATATGAAGACATTTACTTCTGTCATTCATCAAGGCCAAGCCACAACTGGTTAGCCTTCAAGCTTTACCAGTGAGTAAGACTTTGACCCAAATGCTGTGTAATACCAATCAATAGTTGACCAGTGAGTAAAAC